ATCAAATTCTAGTTAGGTACAGCAGTATAACCATTGATTCATCAAATTCCAGCTAGCTCGATCATTCTACCGAGTTCCACCTAGCGCTACTGTTCCTGGCTTTTCACACGCACGCTAGTGCCCATATCCTGACGCGGCTGTCGGGAACAGTAGCCTGCTACCTGATACTGTATTAAGTAGTATAACATACTCCTATGACAAGTCTTTTCAGCAGTAGGCTGCTCCTGCTGCCCAAGGATACCGCTACTACCTATAGTCTACTAGTCCCTAGTAGCACCCCAATTAAAACGGTCAAACGCACTGATTAAGTAACCGGACGCTGCGGCTGCTCTGCAATTTTGCAGAAGACCGCGCGAATCTCAACCAGGTGAGACGGATAGGATAACCGGGTGCCCCGACCCCCGGGAGCTACTACAACTTTTTGCCCATCCTTGATGTCCCCCCAATCCTTGGTCGCGCGTGCGAGGATGTCGTCCTCCTGCTCTTTCTCGTCCTCATTGTACACCGGGACGTGTTTCCTCAGCACGACCCACGAAAGCCTCCACGGTGAGGACATGGTGGGATGGTCGCCGGAGACGTGGATTGGGATGGCGGCGGCTATGCCGGACTCATTGCTGATGGTCAGAGTAAGATGCGGAGACGGCGGAGATTTTATAAATAACGAAAACTGGTAATGGGCCAAATGTGTTGTTCGGTGGGATGGCCACTAAAATACGAGTGATTGCGCTTAGCGCGAGCCCGGATGGCCGTCCCGAGCGAAGTGCCGACCAATGCGGCCCGTTAAAAAGAAGTGCTATATTTGGAACTGTGTTAAAAATTCTCTCACTTAATGGAACTGTGTTACAAATATAAATAAATAGTAATATTTTAACTATACAAGAAGTAAAAAATCCGAGATTGTAAAAAAAATAGTTCTACATATCAAAAAATTAATAAACCTTGTATTTTTATAAAAACTGATCACTTATTTTGAAAATAGTCATCGAATTTCAAAAGGTGCCCGGATATCTTAGAAAATGTTCATGTAGTTTTGAAATGTGTTCATGTATTTAGAAAACTTTTTACCAAAATTATTCCTGTATATTAGAAAATATTCATGTAATTCAAAAGGTATTCATGCCTTTTAAAAATATCATGTAATTTTAAAAGGTGTTACCCCCTCCGACCCAATGTTGTATAGAGGTTGTGTCAATTAATTTGGAATGGAGGGAGTAATATATTTTTGGAAACGTTCATGTTCACTTATTTTAAAAAAGATATTCATGTAATTTTATAAAGCGTTCACACATTTACAAAAACATTTGTGTATTTATCAAGAACATATATTTCATTTAAACAAAAACTACTATACTCTCTTCCTTCTTCACTCTTCCCTCTTCTCTCTTGTCCCTCCCTGCAAAATACACATGAACATATACATATTGACATAATATCAAAATATACATGAACATATGCATATCTCTCTTCTTTCTCTCTTCTCTTCTTTCTATCTAGCTTCTCTCTCTCCTCTCTTCTCTCTCTTCAGTTGTCTTTCTCTCTCTCTCTTCACTCTTTCTCTCTTTATAACTAAGTAACAAACAAACCTACCTCGCAGAAAAAAAAACTACAGTATAAACTACACTACAAATTAAACCTACACTAACAACACCAACACCTACACTATACATTGTAATGGATCGGACAATAAATTGGGGAAGAATCTCACCCGCGGAGGAGGGGGGAGCTCAGCAATGACGGCATCGAGACAGGGACGTGGTGGACGAGGATGATAATGACGGAGATCAAGAGCGAGTAATCCTTGATTTGGGATTGGACATAGAACATGGATCCATCGTAGAGGCATTTAGTTCAAAAGAAATGATGGTATCCTGGTGGTAAGAGTAAAACTTTTGTCTGCGCGACACGGCTAGGACGGCGGGGACAGCGTCGGGCGTCGAGATGGCAGGGAAGACATTGGATGGTGTGGACGGCTAGAACAGCGGCAGAAATGGCTGCATGCAGGGGGGTGAGAGGGTTGGGGGAGGGAGAGAGAGCATCTCAGAGAGAGATCGGGGTAGAGAAGAACGCAGGGTTTAGTTTTTTCTTCAAAGTCCCCGCGGGTGCAGGTTTGTACTCACAGTACTAGCGGGCGTGCGAACCAACAGACGTGCCGCAAATATCCACGTTATTAGTGCCACATAGTACGACAAGGAAATGCCACCCATATATTTTTTATTCTTTTATCATATACTAGCAAACAGGTATGTGCGTTGGAACGAGAAAAATATTAAATGCCCCTAACCCCTAAGCATGGCTGAAGACCCCCTATAGGTCAGCGACCATCGCCGGCAGTGGTTGTGGTGTCCACTCGACCACAATGCATTCGAACAGTCAATCCTAAGGCGATGACGTAGGCCACCGCATGACACACTACCATTGAACAGCACCAGGCCACTAGAATGTTTAAAACTTTGAAAAGCAATCTCGTTGAACTCAATGTGAGGACAGCTCTCCAGAGTGTAGTGGCGGGTAAGAAAAGCTGCCCGCCACATGTACATGCTCTAGGCAAAAATCTCCATCCGCCACTCGTAAATTCTTCCCGCCTGAGCCGTGGGCAAAATGTTTCAGTGGCGGGCTCTTTGTTTCGTCCGCCACGGGTATTGGGTAAAGTGGCGGGTGATCTACATCGCCCGCCACAAGATGTCTTTCCTTACCGGGAAAATTTGATAGCACATTGTAGTGGCGGGTGACTTTATGCGACCGCCACTGGCATTAGGAACAACAGTGGCAGGTATTGTTTCCGCCCAACACAAGACATTTTCAAGCATTAAAAAAGATTATTTTTTTAATAAAATTGAATTTACTGTTTATGTGAGAGCAAATGCACCTAGAGCCAAAACGCCCTTATGGCCGTATGCATCGTTCTGATGCAGAGCCCGGGGCCTGTCCCCTTTTCGAAAAAAAAAGGAGCCAAAACGCCCTCCCCATGCACTTTTTTGTATGTTTGTTTACTCGTTTCAGCTTGTATGTAGTCCATATTGAAATATCCAAAACATCTTATATTTGTAAACGGAGGGAGTAGTTGGAATCCTAAAACTAACATTTCTGGAGGAGTCCACAGAGCATGGAGCCGAGAATTGCCAACCAGGGCCTATGTTGTGAAGTGAAGGCCTAGTCTAAGAGCCCGAAGATTAAACCTGAAGCATTGAGTTTTATCTTGGTTCTAAAATGTTTAATCAAATTGATGATGTTTTTATGCTTATTTGGTCCTTGTACATGACCTTGTTTATAGCATAGTAAAATCACTAAATTGGCCGTCTTATGAGGCATAAATTAGTTTATCACTTAGGCGTGAGTGACAGGCACACTAAAACATGGATGTGATAACCATTAGCGTAGTTATCTACTACTGTACTGCATAACATGATGGTTTCCTGTGACCAAACACCCCCATCTAAACCTGATTGTATACTCCTGAACCTGAAGCTTGAACTTTTTTTTTTTTTGGCAATGGCCATGTGGATGTCAGTTGCTGATTTTTACAATTAGTGTGGTACAATTTAGCTAATACTTGTTCTGGAACAGGTCTTCAGTTTAGAATTTTAGATAGGCGAGCAAACAAGGCATAGATATACAGAGCAATGATGACAGCAACTGCAGGCTATCAAGGCATATATATACAGAGCTATGATCACAACAACTTCAGGCTATCAATAATGGGGTTTTTCTGCTTTTCTTTCGGAGATGTGCAATTGAACTTATTCAGTCATCAAGCAACATGGTACATATTCTAGAATGTAGTGATCTTGGGTGACATAACCCGTTATTCCAGCATAAGCTGGCTATAGTACTTTATATATTCAAATGTCTAAACCTAAATTCCCATGTATCTGACCTCATACATGACTACCGTTAGGGGATTCTCCTTGACTTGTTAAGCTTGCAGCTGGCTTTGGCTAGTCTTTCTATTTACCAGGCCAAGTGAATTTATCAAATTCAAACAAGTGGAAAATACAGGTCTAAGATTGAAAATCATGAACAGATGGACGACAGAGCAAAGAATTTACTTTTAAGACGGAGATAGGAGTATCACAATCACACGGCTTGTAATCCATTGATCAATTATCACAACTGGAAATAGATAATGATTTGTTAAGTTGCACCCTGAAAATACAAATGATGAACATATATGAGAAAATATATAGCTTCTTCTTGTTATTTATTGTCTGGTTGTGCCTGCCTATAATCTGTAAGTTGCACTTCTCCATACAATCCCTCAAGATGGTCTATGTTTTATGCGGCAGAATGAGGTGTTATCTTGGTTCTAGAATGTTTAATTGAATTGTTGTGGTTATTGGTCCTTGTATAGGACCTTGTTTCTAGCATAATAAGATCACCGAATTTGCCATCTTAATTGTTCAAAATGGATCCATCTGACCCTTATCAGGCATAAATTGGTTTATGCCTTAAGTGTGAATAACCGGGACACTAAAACAGGGATGCAATGACCATTTGCGACATCAGCCAAACTTGCTTAATTATCCACTGCATAACCTGATTGTTTCCTGGGACCAAACTCCTCTATCTAGCCCTGAATATAAACTACTGAAGTTTGAGCTATCTATTTGGCAACTATCATGTGTGTATCAGTTGCTGATTTTTATAATTAGTGTGGTTCGGTTTAGCCAATACATATACATCAAGAATAGGTCTTCAGTTTAGATAGAAAAACAAGCAATGCATATAAACAGAGCAATGATCACAGCAACTGTAGGCTATCAAGGATGGGTTTTCTCTGCATTTGTTTCAGAAGTGTGCAACTGAACTTATTCCGCCATCAGGCAACATAATGTAGTACTATCATGTTCTAGAATGTAGTGATATTGGGTTGGGCGACAACCAACTATGTACTCTACAGAAGCGTTGGCATTTGGTAGTACTCGACATACACAAATGTCTGAACCTGAACTCGTGATACGTGACAGGTAAAATACAGGTTGAGTATGCTCTCCTCAGCTTCTTCAGCTTGCAACTCTGACTTCTACTAGTTTTTCTAATAACTAGACCAGGTGAATTTGTCAGATTCAAACGACTGGTAAATACAACAATTTGTCCCACCACGCAAATGTAAAACTCGATAGCACTGCAAAATCATGAACACACAGATAACAGATAATGAATTTACTGCAGGTCAGACAGATTTCTGACATTTTTTTCTCAGCAGAACAGAACATATGCTACATCGACATCATTATCCAAACAGAACACTACTACTATCAGGAATCACTAGACAGTAATCAACTAAGCCTTCTTGGGGGACTTGGCGGCCTTCTTGGGAGACTTGGGCTCCTTCTCCGCCGTCTTCTTGGGGAGCAGCACGGGGTTGATGTTGGGCAGGACGCCGCCGTGCGCGATGGTGACGCCGGCGAGCAGCTTGCCAAGCTCCTGGTCGTTCCGGATGGCGAGCAGCAGGTGGCGCGGGATGATGCGGGACTTCTTGTTGTCCTTGGCGGCGTTCCCGGCCAGCTCAAGAAGCTCGGCGGCGAGATACTCGAGGACGGAGGCGAGGTAGACGGGGGCGCCCATGCCGACCCGCTGCGCGTAGCGGCCCTTCTTGAGGAAGCGCCCGATGCGGCCGACGGGGAACTGCAGCCCGGCCTTGACGGAGCGCGCCACCGCCTTCTTCCTGGGGCCGCCGCCGAGCTTGCGCCCCACCACATACTTCTTCGCCTTGGCGACGGCGCCGGTGGCGGAGGCGTCCATTGCAGCTAGAGGCAGGGGTTGGAGGTGCGGAGAGATTTGGGCGCGATGGGGGATTTGAGAAGGCGGGAGTGGATTGTGTTGGACGACGGGTTTGGGGAGGCTATTTAAACGGCGCGGGAAGGGAGCAGTGTGGGGCCGTCGATCCGCGCGCGCGGGCATGGACGGTTGGATCGGTGGTGAATGGACGGCTGCGATGCGAGAGTTATGCTGCGCCCTGCTCTTCGTTCGGTCAAAACTTTTGTCAACGAAAGAGATAAATGGACGGACCGCAGAAATCGGATCAGCTCGCAACCCCTTCCTTTCTAGTAGGAATAGTACAAGTTACTTATTTACAAATAAAAAGGGAACGTTTGTTTCTTTTTTTTCATTTACTGCAAATTTTTTGGTGGCTTACCAAGGAAGGTTTATTCCGGCTCAAAAACAAAAAGGGTTATTTGGATGCAAGGTTCTTCAACAGGAATCTTTAAACAAAAAATAGGGCCAAGTAATGAACCACAAAGTTATAAATTGGTTCTGTAAACTCAAATCAATATGACATGTCAAAAAAATCAATGTGACATGTCACCCGCAAAAAAAAATCAATATGAAATATATGAAAGTGGGATAGATGTTATTAGAAATTTCCTATTTTTTTCCCGCAAAAAGAAAAAGAAATTTCCTCTTTTTATTTTACATGAGGGTAATATTAGAGCAACTCCAACGGTGTGACCCATTTCGTCCGTTGGCGTCTATTTGGATCGGCGCGCACAAAAAAGTTGGCCCAACGCGCCGACCCAAACGAACGCGCGTCCGCTTTTCGTCCGCGGGTGACCCATTGCCGGCCCCTTTTTTAGCCCTATTTGCGTCGGCGCGGACACGAGACGGACGCGCGCGCTCGCCTCCTCCTCCCCGGGCCCGCTGGTCGGTGACACATTGGCCTTCCCCCATCCAACAGCAACCCTCGCCCGCCTCCTTCGTCGCCGATGCCGCCGTCCATTTTTTCCGGCGACTCTCCCAGTTGTCGGCGCCGCAACATCCGCCCAGCAACGCCGCCAACTCCCACATTGCCCTCCACCGTCGTCTTGCCGCCGAGGAGCCAACTGCTTCCCACCCCCGCTCCCCCACCACACAGCCGCGACCGCGACAAAGAAGCCGCCTCGCCGCCCCGACCAGATCCTCGTCGGACGCCGGCATGGCAGCTAGTTGGTCCGTGCGCGCCGCGACTCCCTTCGCCGGCCATCTCCTTCGTCGACGCCTGCAAGTTGTTCGACAGTTTGCCAAGGTACAAAATGGACTCCGCCGACGAGTTCTTTTTTCACAATTTCCTTTGCGACTCTGACGATTCGTCGTCCGATGACAAGGAGGAGATATTGGCTGTCGTGTTGGTCCATCACCACCTCAACAGCCAGCGACCGTTGTTCCGTGGCTCCATTCTGGGCCACCTTTCGGCGTTGAATCACAGCCGAGAGAGCGGGCATTTCGTTCATTGGAAGGACTACTTTGATACAATAAATCTGTTGTTCAAACATCAAAAATTTCGCCGCTGTTTTCGTATGAGTAGGCATCTTGTCAACCGTATTAGAGAGGGGGTGGTCGGCTATGATGACTATTTCGAGTGCAAAGAGGATGCCGTTGGCAAGATTGGTTTCTCCTCTTACCATAAAAGCATTGCCGCCATTCGTAAGCTTGCATACGGAGTGCCCGGTGACCTCATTGATGAGTACGTCTGTATGAGCGAGTCTACATGCCTAGACTCCATGTATAAGTTCTGCAAGGCTGTTATTGCTGTGTTTGGCCCTGAGAACTTGAAAGAGCCGACTCGTGAAGATACAGCCCGTTTGTTGGCAATGAATGCCAGCAACCCAGGGATGCTTGGCAGCATAGACTGCATGCACTGGGAGTGGAAGAACTGCCCTTCTGCTTGGCAAGGGCGGTATAAGGGCCATGTCAGGGCTTGCACTGTCATACTAGAGGTTGTGGCATCTCAAGATCTATGGATCTGGCACTCATTCTTTGGCATGGCTAGGTCACACAATGATATCAACGTGCTTCAACGCTAGCAGGTGTTTGCTAGGCTTGCCGAGGCAACAGCCCACCGGTGAACTTTACTATCAACTGCCACAACTACGACAAAGGATATTACCTGGGTGACGGCATCTATCCTCAATGGACCACTATTGTCAAGACAATCCCCAACCCTGTCGGAGAGAAGAGGAAAAGATTTGCCCAAGAGCAAGAGAGTGCTAGGAAGGATGTCGAGCGTGTGTTGGGGAACGTAGTAATTTCAAAAAAAATCCTACGCACACGCAAGATCATGGTGATGCATAGCAATGAGAGGGGAGAGTGTTATCCACGTACCCTCGTAGACCGAAAGCGGAAGCGTTAGCACAACGCGGTTGATGTAGTTGTACGTCTTCATGATCTGACCGATCAAGTACCGAACGCACGACACCTCCGAGTTCAGCACACGTTCAGCCCCGATGACGTCCCTCGAACTCCGATCCAGCCGAGTGTTGAGGGAGAGTTTCGTCAGCACGACGGCCTGGTGACGATGATGATGTTCTACCGATGCAAGGCTTCGTCTAAGCACCGCTACAGTATTATTGAGGTGGACTATGGTGGAGGGGGGCACCGCACACGGCTAAAAGATCAAACGATCAATTGTTGTGTCTATGGGGTGCCCCCTGGCCACGTATATAAAGGAGTGGAGGAGGGGAGGGGCCGGCCATCTCTATGGCGCGCCCTAGGGGAGTCCTACTCCCACCGGGAGTAGGATTCCCCCTTTCCTAGTAGAATTAGGAGCCCTTCCAAGTAGTAGGAGTAGGAGAGAAGGAAAGGGAAAAGAGAAGAGAAGGAAGGAGGGGGCGCAGCCCTTCCCCCTAGTCCAATTCGTACTAGGCCTTGGGGGCGCGCGTGGCCTGCCTCTCTCTCTTTCCCCTAAAGCCCAATAAGGCCCATACACTCCCTGGCGAATTCCCGTAACTCCTTGATACTCCGATAAATACCCGAATCACTCGGAACCTTTCTGATGTCTGAATATAGTCGTCCAATATATCGATCTTTACGTCTCGACCATTTCGAGACTCCTTGTCATGTCCCCGATCTCATCCGGGACTCCGAACTACCTTCGGTACATCAAAACACACAAACTCATAATATAACCGTCATCGAACTTTAAGCGTGCGGACCCTACGGGTTCGAGAACTATGTAGACATGACCGAGACACGTCTCCGATCAATAACCAATAGCGGAACCTGGATGTTCATATTGGCTCCCACATATTCTACGAAGATCTTTATCGGTCAAACCGCATAACAACATACGTTGTTCCCTTTGTCATCGGTATGTTACTTGCCCGAGATTCGATCGTCGGTATCTCAATACCTAGTTCAATCTTGTTACCGGCAAGTCTCTTTACTCGTTCCGTAATGCATCATCCCGCAACTAACTCATTAGTTGCAATTCTTGCAAGGCTTAAGTGATGTGCATTACCGAGAGGGCCTAGAGATACCTCTCCGACAATCGGAGTGACAAATCCTAATCTCGAAATACGCCAACCCAACAAGTACCTTCGGAGACACCTGTAGAGCACCTTTATAATCACCCAGTTACGTTGTGACGTTTGGTAGCACACAAAGTGTTCCTCCGATAAACGGGAGTTGCATAATCTCATAGTCATAGGAACATGTATAAGTCATGAAGAAAGCAATAGCAACAAACTAAACGATCAAGTGCTAAGCTAACGGAATGGGTCAAGTCAATCACATCATTCTCCTAATGATGTGATCCCGTTAATCAAATGGCGACTCATGTCTATGGTTAGGAAACATAACCATCTTTGATCAACGAGCTAGTCAAGTAGAGGCATACTAGTGACAATCTGTTTGTCTATGTATTCACACATGTATTATGTTTCCGGTTAATACAATTCTAGCATGAATAATAAAAATTTATCATGATATAAGGAAATAAATAATAACTTTATTATTGCCTCTAGGGCATATTTCCTTCAGCGTGCCTTTGGTGTTTTGCAATCTCGACCAGGCATCATTCGGTATCCTGCTAATACCTGAAGCACGCAGAAACTGTGGGAGGTGATGACTGTTTGTGTGATCATGCACAATATGATCGTAGAAGACGAGCGCTTGGAACGTCTGTACGATCAGGGGTTTCAGTTTCAGGGTGAGAATGTTGTGCCTGAGCATGGAGGAGCGGCAATGTTTGAACAGTTCACCCAATGTCATCATGACGTGTGATTGGGAAACTCACGTGCAACTTCAAAATGATTTGGTTCAGCATATATGGGCTCATGTTGGCAATCAATAGATGTATCTTCTTTTATTCGGCTTGCAAAACTATGTGAGGCATTTTTATTTTTATTCAGCTTGCAAAACTATGTGAGGCATTTTTATTTTTATTCAGCTTGTAAAACTATGCTATTTTTATTCGGTTCAAACTATGTTATTTGACTATATGTTTAAATGCAAATTCAATACAAAAATGAGCTATTTGTTGAAATAGGGCGGCTGGTCGGCCACACCGGCACATATAGATCAGCCCGTTGGGTGTGCTGCCGACCCATATCTAAAACAGGACGGACGCGGGGCGGGCGGCTGATGTCTACTACACAACCTTCTTCTTGTAGACGTTGTTGGGCCTCCAAGTGCAGAGGTTTGTAGGATAGTAGCAAATTTCCCTCAAGTGGATGACCTAAGGTTTATCAATCCGTAGGAGGCGTAGGATGAAGATGGTCTCTCTCAAGCAACCTTGTAACCAAATAACAAAGAGTCTCTTGTGTCCCCAACACACCCAATACAATGGTAAATTGTATAAGTGCACTAGTTCGGCGAAGAGATGGTGATACAAGTGCAATATGGATAGTAGATAATAGCTTTTGTAATCTGAAAATATAAAAACAGCAAGGTAACGAATGATAAAAGTGAGCGTAAACGTTATTGCAATGCGTGGAAATAAGGCCTAGAGCTCATACTTTCACTAGTGTAAGTTCCCTCAACAATAC